TTGGGGGCATCCCATTCGCCCCCCCACCCATCATCGATAAATCCTAACATATTAAGTGGAGCAGGCAGCCTATTCGCTATAGCACAAACAATGTCCATTACTGGCACGGTCACCTTGCTGTCTGCAAGGCGGCCGCCCAACCTCTTGGTGCTTGGTGAACCGCGAACCAGTGCTATCAAAGCCTGGCTGAGAAGTACATTCCCACGCGTAGGGTACCAAGCTCTGACCACCGCAGAAACGGCGTGCGGGTAACGAACATTCCGGCGCAAGGCCAATAACAACATGCTCCTGATCGAGATGTACACGACGGCGCCAGATTGCACCCACTGTACAGTGGTTGTAATCACGCATACATGTGCAGTCCCCACGTCGGCGGTCTACTTCATGAAAATGGTTGTGACTATGGAGAGGTGGCATATTGAGCGCACGCCAATACACAGAAAATGAACACTAAGGTGGGTTTGATGCCTGTTGCGCAGATTTGGTCATGAGTGCGCGCGTGAGGCGGGCAGAGAAAGCTCCGATTGCAGGCCCCAGATGCCGTATTGGTGGTTGTCAAGGTAGGGATTAGGGCATTGTTGGGATTTGTGTGGCGCTGTCTGCGTGTGTGTGTGCGTGTGTGTGGGCATATGCCTGCCCACGGGCAGGTTGGTTGTGTCGGAAGCGGTGGTCATCGAAGTGGGATGATCGGCAATCAAGGTGTGAAACAACTGGGTTTGCTCGCATCAAGCAAATTTGGTGACGCTGAGGACCACAGCCTGCGGCGTGAATTCAATGCCACCTGAGGAGATTGCTGGAGTCATGCATCCTTCCTGTATGGCGCACGCTGCAGGTTGTTGCAGTGCGTTTCTTTCGATTGCGATTTTGCTGAGCACACGCAGAATGGCTGCACTCGCACATGGAAAGCTGAAAAGGTGTCGATGGCTCGTCATTGAATCATGCAGTCTGCATGTGGACACACTAATCAAGGGTCAAGAATGCACCATCGTGCACGGATAGGCTGAGCAAGCGTCTTCCTATCGTGATGGCGTGCAGAAACGCTGCCAGTGCCGTGAATCGCTTTTGGTCGTGGCGAAGTCGCGGTACAATGTGCCGGATAAACATCAGCGATCAGCGTCCATGCACTGTGCGCCTCGCCATGCGACTGTGACGAACGGTGTCCGGCAAAGCGGAAGCCATCAGCTCCATTGATGCTTGTTCTCCTGCCAGGCTGGGGTTATCTACCATGGCGCAAAGGCTGACTACACTTTTTCTTTTCTTTGAGCCTCGTCTGTAGACGCTGCAGACCGTCGGCGAGAGGTGAAAATTAACAAGTGAGGGACTGAACCCGTTGTTGGATGCACACACGCCAGTCATCGCTTGCAATGTGCAAGGGCATTGCTGTTTGTCGAAGGCGGTTCAAACAAAAAGCTTACCCTCAAGTCAGGCGTGAAGAAGGCTGCTCATCGGAGGGGCTCAGGACAGCGCTTTGCGATGCATCAGGTACTTAGCAGTATACCCTTTTTGATCGCTGAGTCAGGTTGGTCAGATCAAACGGAAAGACGACATAATCATGCAGACGAAGCAAACAAGGCCGCCCGGCCACAAATAGAACTGTTTGTCAGGGGTACCAAATGCGCCCCATGGCGTGGAATCAATGCCTTTGCCTTCTTACTGGAAGCTGAAAGCACTTCGGTGGTTAGTGCGCCCTACATTCCAGAAAACACAAACAGCTGGCGAGCGAAGTGGGGAAGAGCAGAGAAAAGAAGAGAAAGGGTTTCAGAGCTCACAGTATCGTCAATGCTAAGCCGCGTTTGCCCCAAAGGCCAGCATCTGTATTAATGCGGACGGTAAGGAGGATGTCCGACCGGGGATGGAACCGCGTACCTCTCAGGGAATGTCCCACTGCTCTACCAATACTACCCGGCCAGGAGTAGAGGGAGGAGGATAGTACGAGGTCAAGGAGGAGGGCAGTCCAACCCCTTACCAACAGCATCGCAGCCGACGTGGCGTTCTCTTTCCCGCGCGGTGCCTCCAGTCAGGACCGGCCCCAAGGTCGCACCGACGAGCAGATGGCCATGCGCACCCTCCTCGGCAGGTGCCAGTCCGCCGCCCGGGCCGTCGATCAGCTCCTCTCGCGATCCCTAGCGTCCGGCGCTGCCAGCAGGGAAGACGGTCTCGGAAAGGTGCTGGCCCAGCAGCTGGAGGAGATCCGCGAGGCGGGAACCTACAAGCATGAACGGCTGATCGTCACTGCGCAGGGTCCCAGAGTGGGTAGGATTCACGCCTGATTAGCGCGGGGTAGGTCTCCTGACCTGTGGCATTGGCCGGATCCCATGATGCAGATAAAGAGGCGTGGGCTCGTGGCTGGGGCAGCCCTCCAATGAACGCCACCAGTTTGGATCGGCGCACCCTGCCTTTTGGCGCGACCGCCGCTTTGCGCCTTTGGAGATTTATGTCGGGCGTGCGCTGCTCGGTCTAGGCAGATGGAGTCCAATTGTGATGCGCACCTCCTGAGGCCGTGAGATGGGGATCCGCTTATTCTGCCGTGACGTTGTCCTGCGTGCAGTCGTCAAGGACGTGGAAGGAGCCTGCCACAACTTCTGTAAGTATCTGATTTGCTTGCTTGAGTCTCGCATGGATTGGGTTCCCTGGAAGCTCCGGGCCTAGGCTGGCATGAATTTGGCCTGCAGTACTTACATTTTCACCCACAGATTAATGGTGACACGGCCCTCTAGAATCAGGCCTCACCATTCCGACACATTTTCTGCAGTGTGCTTCGGCGAGTCTACCAACAGAGCACAGTGTCTGAGTGTCAGACTTGACTACTGTGTTGTGCAGTTCTTTCTCCCTGCAGGAAGTGTCTCAATGCTGTCACCAGGAGGTCACTTGGCGATTGATGCTCTTTTCTACCGCAAAACATGCGTCATCTTGCAAAGATTAAAAAACTCAGATCCTTTGCAATGGTTGAAACTGCCGTGTTTATGGTGACGATCCTGCCACTGCCTGCAACCACAGTAGATTGACATGCCATCTGATTGGGGATTGTTGCTGCAATTGTCTCTCCAGGTGCAAACAATTACTTGGGCCTTTCCAACCATCCCAGGCTTGTGGAAGCAGCGAACAAAGCTCTGCACTCACACGGATATGGCCTGTCATCAGTTCGGTTCATCTGTGGGACACAGGTAATTGAAATGTGCAGAGTGCAAACCACACACATGTTGCATCAGATTGTGGGCGTAATTTTCTGAAACTCTTATTCCTCACCATTGGTTCAAGTGGACAGTTCCGGCCCCAATCGAGGTATTGTATCAAGGTTGTGGCTGTGTTTTGATACATCCTTGTATGGAATGTAGACGCAGCACATATAAGTGTTGATGCTTCAGGCAAGCTGAGTGTCACACAACACAACACATCGCTGATGTATCCATTCTGATGGTGCTAGATTAATAGACATTGCACAGAAATTTAACATGTGTGTCATTCATTCCAGATCACAGGCCATTGGCAGATCGGGGGAATGCAAGTTGCACCTGAACAAATGCCTCATCTTTGGCAAGCAACCATGGGCTCCAGATCTTGTTCAGTTTTTAGGCGATGTGTCTTGTCGTCCAGTGTTTGGGTTCCTACTCATGGTTTCTCTGAAGCACTTGCAGCCTCTGCAGCCCATGGCACAGTGATCCTTGGACAAGACATGGCATGAGCCCCAGGCCAAGAGCTCAGCAAACTTGAGTTCAGACAATCCATCAGAAAGAAAAATACTTGTACGTTGGCCAGTGCTGTGGAGGCCCATCTGCAATGCCTATTTGTTCTGAGAGCCAGCCTGAGCTCTGCTTCAAGCACTAATGTCAGAAAAGCACAATGCAGTAACTATTTAGCTGTTGGACGATGTCAAAAGCTGGGTCAGTGGACCATCGTTTCGCCCAATGTGTTTGCTGATTTTTGCTGCATCGTTCAGGACATACACAAGCAGCTTGAGAAGAAAATATCGGAGTTCCATCATACTGAAGACACCATTCTCTACCCCAGTTGCTTCGATGCCAATGCTGGCTTGTTTGAGGCTCTGTTGACATCGGAAGATGCTATCATATCAGATGCTCTGAACCATGCATCAATAATTGATGGCATCAGGCTTTGCAAGGTGTGCTCCCACAATGAGCGTGCATATGTGGGTCCGGAGTTGTTGCACTGAAGTCCAGGGAGGCCTGTTGGAGCAAGGATGCTACAGTTTACTTTGCAGCAATTTCTCAGCAAACATGAACAGAATTTGTCCCCAGAATCCAATATGCTTTGCCGGCCGATTTATGTGGTGGAGTTCCCTTGCCAAACCGATGTAGTATTCCCATTGCCAGAACTTGTGGGGTGCCCCATCCATCTCTGTGCATGGTGAACACCTCTGCACTTACTGGGGCTGTCACTATCCTGTTGTGTCCCATTGACCACAGGCTCAGAGGCTTCGGTACAAGCACATGGACATGGCAGACCTGGAGGAAAAACTGAAGGAAGCGCAGGGTGCTAGAATACGGTTGATTGCCACGGATGGCGTGTTTTCAATGGACGGTGACATCGCCCACCTGAAGGAAATACGTTCTTTGGCAGACAAGTACCAGGCAGTTGTCTTCATTGATGAGTGCCATGCCACAGGCTTTTTTGGGCCCACTGGCAGGGGTACAGACGAGCATTGTGGCGTCCTTGGGGAGATCGACATCATCAACTCCACACTGGGGAAGGCTTTGGGAGGGGCGACAGGTGAAATGCGCATGCTGGAAGTCAGACTGCGAATCCAGCCTTAGTCTATACTTCTCGGTATTAGAAATGCGTTCTTGGTGGCACTTGGGCAGTGCTTACTCAACGTTGCCGATCAACGCAAGCTGTAGTGCATTTGGCCGAATGCCCGGCTGTGAGCAGTTGCTTGATTGGCTAAGCGCCTGGCTTATTGCCTTTGGCAGATTAGCTAAGCTGGTCAATTACCTGGTTCTCCGACTCCCTCAGCTCCAAAAAGTGGTTATGACGTTGATGGGGACAATGAAAGTGAATAGTGACGAAGGCGGGTGTCCAATGGTGCAATGCTCAGGCAGGTGCCAGCCCCAGATTTAAATTTGATTCATGTTAGCAGATGTGCATGGAATGGAGATGTCAGTAGATGGAATGGACCCTTGAGACCGGTGTGAAACGATGCGCAGTCCTGGTACGTTTCCTGAGTTAATGAAGCAACAGACATGTCTTCACTATTCAACCTGGAAGGCAGCCAGGGTTTGCCATGTGGCTGCTGGACCAAGATTCGATATGATTGTGCACTTAGTCGCAACATTTAGGCCTCTTGTGCCTTCCCCAGGGGGCTACACGACTGGGAGGGCCGACGTCATTGAGATTCTGCGCCAGAAGTCCCGGCCATACCTGTTTTCGAACTCGCTGGCACCGGCGATGGTTGGGGCGGCCATAGAGACATTCAAAATGTTGTCAACGACAACGGAACTTAGGGACAAACTCGAGGAGAACACAAAATTCTTCAGACAGGAGCTGACTGGTGCAGGCTTCAACATTCGGCCTGGGACGCACCCAATTGTGGTAATGGGTTGGGCGGATTGCTTGCTGTGATGACTTTGCCCATGCGTTTCTCTTCAGGACTCTCTCAGAAACAGAGTGCATCGGTGCATTGCAAATGCCTCGGCTTGTACTGCACGATCCGTTAGTTGGACGCTGTGCGCATTCGCTTTCGAGTGATGTTGTAGCACAAACGTTGCACATCCAGAGTGCTTCCCATTGGCACCCATAGCACGCTCGACTGAGCGCACCAACTCACGTCACTTGTGCATAGTTGCGTTGTGTAGCCAGCCTGATCCGTCTCTCACACGCTGTTTGTCACATTGCAGCCCATCATGCTTGGAGATGCGAAACTTGCGGGCGCAATGGCCAAGCGGCTCTTGGAAAAGGGTGTCTACGTCGTTGGCTTCAGTTATCCCGTAGTCCCAAAAGGCCAGGCCCGGATACGAGTCCAGCTGTCGGCCGCGCATGAGAGGAAAGATCTTGAGGAAGTTGTCGCTGCTTTCAAAGGCGTGGGAAAGGAGCTGGGCGTCATCTGACACAGTCAGCCAATTTCATGCCTTGATTGGAGGAATGGAATTACCCAGGTACGGCATGCGTGTTCACGGGTCACCGCAGGGCTACTGGGCAGGCATGGAACATGGAGCTGTACGTGGGGCAGCGGCTGTGCAGGATTTCCTGGGAAGTGTGGCATGCAGCGCGCACGTTTCCTGCGGGCAGCTGGAGGTGTGTGTGTGTGTGTGTGCAAAATTGCACAAGCTTTGGCCTAAATGCAGTGCCAAATGGCATTTGTGACGCGATGGAGGATTAAACCCCGTCTCACAGTGGGTCATGCATTGGTTCACATGTCCTTCGCTTCCTGTCCCTTGGTCAACAAAATGAGGTTTCTGTCATGGCGCACCCCAAACTCCTTTGGCTGACATAAATGGCAATCTTGTTATGTATATAACGAATGCTCCCTTCCATTGGGGTGAAAGGGGCCACTTCCCATTTCCAGCCATTCAACGCATTTGGACGTAGACAATTCCTATTAGGAATCAACCATTTGACACCGTTCTCGGTTCTCCAACAGTCCTTGTGATGGGAACGTGGTCTATGCCATCCTTTTTTGCGATCTATTGTATAATCCTCACAAATATTACTATATGCAGCTCTGGAGTCACCAAATGTGTGCAATTCAAGGTGCGCCGCCTCAATGATCTGTTGTTCATCCATTCATTAACCACAGGATGTAATCCCGCTCTGTGCACACCAGATGCAGCCCATGCGCACAGATCGATTGCTGATTTGACAACACGATGATATTCAATCTGTTGAATATCTTCGGCGTGTGCTATCATGGCCACAGCAGTGAAACAGGAAAGGCGACTGATGTGCAGAATCACCGGAGTCTGTTTGCAATGCTGCTTGGTACTGATACCATTGGCGACATTGATGGCGGTGTTTGGCAGCATCGCATGTATCCTGATAGCGCAAGGCGACTGCAGCGCCACCCTGCCTCCATGCGTGGCCACTTCCCAGCCACAGCAAGTCTCTTTCGAAGGCACTACACGTGAATGTGACGAGAACCGCAATTGTGGACCAGCTTTGCGCCACAGGGTCCTGTGTCCTTTGGCTGTTGAAGCAAGCGCACGACTGAGGTATAAGAACGGCGAGTGCAGCCGATGTGCCAACATTTCCTGGAGGGTGCTCCCCAATTTTGCACAACTCGCTTATCTGAACGGCTGAAGTCCGAACTTTCATGTTTGTACTGTACACCAACAACCCCTTTCTCCGTTCCCCGTTTTCCGAGCAGTCCACCAGCTCACCCCAGCACGAAGTGTCAAGAACTGCATCATTAAATTTTCGTAGTCCTACCCGCCATCGCCAACAGTCACCCCAGCGTCCGATCCCATTGAGTAGGAATGGCAAACCAACTTGGGACCCTGAGGTGCTGTGGCTTCACCCAAATACAGTCACTATTTCTCACACAAAACCTGCCAATTTCTGAGTTCAATATCGTACGGCAGTTCAATTCTCAATACCTTGCATCCTCCTTACAGATCTCTTGATCTTTGGGTGTACGCAAGAAGCACTGCAGTTGTGCTTGGGCACTGCAACGATAATATCTTGCTAAAACGCATGCAGGTGCTTGTTCGTTATGCACCTGCCTTGCCACACCTATCCTAATGCCCCGTTTTACCTTCAAAGAGAGAAAAGACAGGAGAATGACAAAAGACAGAACAAAGTAGCCTAACTGCAATACCCACAATCTCAACAAGCCCACGTCAGCGTCCAAGCAACTGCACCAGGCACGTATCTGCTAACTTTCCGCACCTTTCTCCATCTCTGACAGCAACAACTCCCTGCGCTGCATGTGTGCGACACACCCCTGCTAAAGCCACAATAGATTGTGGGCGTGCGAGAATGGCATGTCTTGGAGACGCTGTCCTCCTCGCTCACAGGCCATACTCATACCCCACTTCATCAATGGGCACATATCCAGAAGGCCTCCTCCTTAGCGCCCCAGTCGCAGGCCCCGTATCGCCGCCACTGAGCGGCGGCCGGTGCAACGGTTGCGGCACGCTAGAGGATTGGCCCTGGGCGTTTCGCAATTCGTTCAGCTGTTCCATGATCACCTTCTGATTCGCCTCTATGGACTTTATAGCATCCTTGCTGTTGCGAAACGACATGTCAAACACTTTCCTGCAGCGAAAACAGCATCCCAGGCGTTGGTGAGCTGCGAAGCGCAGGGACAGGACAGCAGGAACGAGCCACGAGTGCAGCTCTCCGAGGTGGCATCAGTGCCGCCTGTGGTGGCGGGGGGCGAATGTTGAAAGGGACATCCAGCAGGAAGGATGAAACCGCTGCAGCTATCATTCCCCACCGTGGCTCCCAGATGGACAAACTAGGCCTAGTCCACATGCATGGCCGGATGAAATTCAACAGCCCGCTACACTCCTTCATTGACTAATGCAAGAACACCCACCTGACACGGGTTTCGATCTCCATTACACGGCCTTTCCATCCACCACCTCTCAGTTTCTCTGAGCGGTACTTGGGCACCAACACGTGCAAGTACCTCATTACCTTCTCCCTGAGCGCGTCACACAAAGATTTTGAGAGGGCCACTTGACTGCGGTGATGCCCATGCAATGCACAGGAACATGATACCAGAGCTTATGGAGTGCTCCAAATCTCAGCAGGTCGCCTCGTGCAGCAAAAGATTTCTAGGACTGTGACTGCAGTGGCACCAGCTACAAATGCTCATCAAGGTACTGAGGTTATCATCAACGAATATTCTCATCAATGGAGCCCCGGCCGCGGCTCTTGCACAGCCTGTGGTCAAGAGCACGTTTGAGCAGCAAAGCTCAGGCATCAACTCACACATTTCACATGCATCCATTGCAAACGTGTCACACTTCAGATTGTGTACTTTGGAGCGTGCGCCGCTGCGATTTCTTGAGGTCCTCTGTTGCCAGCGTCTCAAAGTGAGATCGTGACAAGCCCACATCTGTCTATTGCCCACTGTGAGGGAACGCAATGGGCCGATTTTGTTGTGAATCAGTGTTAAACTGAGGGGCCGAGGGGGGCCACTGGCAGACTTTTAAAGCCAAGAAACAACGAACTCGCCACAAGTACGGCGACAGCTTAGAAGAGGCCCAAGCGGGTGCTGTTCTGCGGCAAACAGGTCACCATTTATTCAATTCTCTCTCAAAAGTTGAGATGTTGAGGAACAACTGTCTCAATTGACAGCCTCCAGCGCCTGCACAGCTTCAAACATCTCATTACCAGCCTCCTCAGCTCACTGCAATCAATCACTTTGCTTTCCTAGAAAACGTTTCGCTTTTCGCACCTTGTGCCAGCCCCCAAAGGATCTAACTGCATGTGTTATGACTGTTGCAAAAATGGCAGCCAGTAGATTGGGCGTGCATGGCTCCACATTGTTTTCAAGGGACACATCCCTGCAATAGGTAGATATTTTCAGCGTTGCGGAACCCTGCAATTCACGTCACGCTCCATTCCCAAATCATGCTTTCGCTCACTGTTTCTCTTTCTTGTTCCTCGTCGACATCATGCTCTCCAGATCGTGAATCACAAGGGCTCTAGCCTTCAAGAACGTGCTTTCCTGTGTGTTCTTCACCTTGTCGTAGCTGTCTGCATGAATCCCATGCCATACAGAGCATCAACGACAGTGCAACCCCACAACTGCAAACGCAGCCATTGGCATATCATACGCATTGCACTTGGGCCTGAATTCACATCTGCGACATGACGCCAAAGAACAGCAACAAATCTCCAAAACTGAATAGCTATAACTTTCTGCAATGTGTCACTGTCGTAAACATTAAAATTCACAATCTATCGCAGTTGCCACTGATCCTGCAAAGAGTGAAACCCCCACACCAGTGCAGCCTTAAGAGCTACAGTGCCCCTGCCCAAACTACGTCTTACCTCCCATGATGGCGATCAACAGATTCAATAGCACGATCATCATGGCCACTGCATACAGAATGAACAGGATAACGGCCACCGAAAAGCTCTCCGCCTCCCACAACGTTTCCAAGTCGAAATCGCCGAGAAGAAACCCGAACATTGACAGCAACGTGCGGGCAAGTGTGCCAAACGCGTTTAGCACATCCCGGCTTTCCTCGGCATTCAGATCACTCAGCACCGACGAGCCTTTTGCAGTGGATGTGCCATTCACAGCCTTCAAGCATTCGCTCAGAGAGTCCATGCCTTCAGAGGACAAAAAGCTGGCTATGGTGGGATCGGTTCTGTTTATGCCGACCAGGGCGCCCTCGTTGAACATCGAGCAGGCCGCCTTTGCTTCTGCTTTTGCACTTCGGGCATGGCGGTACAGAACAAAAAAAGCAGTTCCAAAGCCAAAAAGGATGCCGAAAGCCAAAAGCATGAATATTATGATGTCCTTGAGAATTTCCCGAATCATCACCACCAGAGAGCCTGCAGCAAACGATAAGACTGTCATTGTATGTCATAACGACATAAAATTCAACAGCAGGGCTTAAAGCAGCACTTGCTGCTTGTCAACGTGTTGGCCAACATGCCGACGTGGCTTTCCATGCTTTTTCCTCATTATCGCTTCCCTAATCAAAGAGCAACGGCTGCGGTGATGATAGTAATGGCAAATGTAATATAACCAAATGCCATCCAAGAAATTGAACGCACGTTGTCAGATCTATTGCGCAACCTAGGTGACTTGCACAAGCAAGGCAGTACATCATCATCACATACACTGCAGATTTGATTGGTGAACCTCAAAACAAAAGCTTCAAGCTCAGGAAAAGCCTTGGATCCTGTAACCGTGCATGCCCTATCAGATGTGTCGATGCTGGCACATCATCATCAACAGTATGTAGTCAATGCCACTTGCTGCTCACAAGGAGCAATGTTATGATGCTTTCAAGGTACTCGTCTTCATCACACAATGTTGGTATGTCCAAGAGTTTGCTGAGTACTACAACGGGCTTGCAGACATTACTGTGTCTAAGCACCTCAATCCAGACCACAGTTGCTGAAACATGTCCTATTGTTGCTTACTGCACACTCAATGTACGCACATCCATTGATCATGCAAAGATGAAACTGTCCACATCCATTGCACAGACGCCAACTCAACAGGCCAGAACACATTGTTTTCTGACAGGCCGCAAATACTGGATAATGCCCTGCATGCAGCAGCCTCTACTGTCCTACATCCCCTGACCCAACTCCCTGTGCTGCAGGCTGCTGGGTTCCACATTGCATCCTTCAAACGTTGTAAAGGATCATTTTACTTCTGATAGCTTTGGAGATGTCTGGCATGTCCATTCATAGGGCCTGAGAACATTGGTATACTTTGAACACTTAGGTCTTGTTTGTTTCGAGCAAGCCAGTGCACTAGGCAGTGAACGGTTGAACACAGTGCAGTGATTTCGTTTTTGGACTCTTCTCAAGCTCACGGTTGAATCCTGACGTGAACAACACGTGCCCTATGCACGTCCAATGTCTGGACCCAATAGCAATGAATGTGATGTGGGACTGTTTAAGGCCGAGGTATGTATCACCTGCTTTTGCAGCAACACATTGTGAGTAGACACATTTTCCTTCGGTGGCTCACTGATGCCTGGGCAAATGACTTGCAAACATGCCTGTGTATGACTTGCCAACATCCACAATGTCAATATAAGGTATTGGCCAGCAACTTGCCAGGAACATCTCTTACTACTAACAGGGCACTGATACACACCCAAACTGCATAACGGTAACATCCTCATTTGTGTGGCTCACCTGTGCTTCTGAAAGGCCCAAGGTAGTACAGCGCTTTCCACCAGAGCATGATGACCACAATTGCAGAGAGACTGGACAAGTCGACATCTTGAGTCGCCTCTCCCCTCACTATTGCAAAAGGAATCAAGAAGACAACCACAAGGTACGAAACAGTCTCGATCCAGTTCCAGTGTGAGTTGGACCACAGAAAGATTCCCTTCCAACCCTCCTCTTTGGCTAAAGTGATGATCTGCAACAGCGGCCACATATATTTCACTTCGTCTTGTTTTTTAGATGCTGTGCTAACTAACATCCAATGGCATGACACCTGTACTGAAAACTGTTAGAAAATCTGTGGTTTTGGGAGCTGCTAGAAAAGCAGTGGTTATTTTGTGTGTGGTGAACCTTGTTACCCAAACTACAGCACTGTCTGGCTAGTGTGTTTCAGCAAAGATCTCACAGCAGAAGTGCCAAGTTTGCCAGAAGCTGAATCTGATGCAATGGAAGCACTCAACAATGATTGACGCCACATAGGCTGGGCCAATGCCCCTATTAGGGCCTGGTCAGCAGGTTGCGAACGATCTGATATGGACAACGATGAGGTTCAAATCGCCCCACACTGCCTTGCAAGTGAACATACATCAATCTGCTATGTGATTTGACAAACTGATGTGCTACATGATTCAACAAACGTGCTGAGATTTGATTGTTGCTGCGCTCCATCGAGCGTTTTCGCACATCAAACAGAGCGAAAATTGCAAACATTCTTTCGTCACAGGATGGCCTTGCTTCAGATTCACTGGATTCTGTAATGCACACACCATCTCAAGCTTGTCATATGCAAAGATGTCACATGAAGCAATCCCATATATCACAGTACATAGCTGCAATTATTGCCGCTTCTGGTGTGTATTGACAAGATGGGAAGGTGGACAGATTGCGAACAGCACACACACACACAAACACACACACACACACACACACACACATACACAGCCCCTTCCTTGCATGTGTGCACACTACTTTGTTTGGTTTCTTTTGCTGGGAGCAGTCCTATAGTGCCGAAAAGTGGAAAAGGGCCTGACCGATACTTCAACAGTGACGTGTGCATGAGCCTTGAGGTGTTCAAACACATCTCAACACAAACACAACCGGCATGTTAATATGAAAGCAGCATTGTCACAGCCACACCAGCAATACATTGTGCCTCTACCTGAAACAGCTTCCGTATGAGATTGAAAATGGCAAGAATAATCGACATTAGCAGTGAAATGGCAGCCAAGACTGCCACGACATCATCAACAGCATCGTCGGTTTCTTGAAACTCTTGCAAGTGGCCAAGAAAGATGCAGAAGGCTGTGAAGGACCCCAAAAGCAGGGCGTAGTGCGACAGCTCCTCCAGCAGCAGCTCGCGAGCATAGCTGTGCCATTTGTAGTCGACCATGCTTGCTATGGGCCTGGCACCAAACATCTGGTGGCTTGTGCGATTGGCAACCAAAGCCCTCAGAAGACCCTCCTTCCCAATGTGCGCAATATCTGGGTATGGGATGACCTTCGCCAGGGCCTCTATGTTCACAGACATGGCCCTCTGGTACTTGTCATACCGCGCCTCAATACTTCTGTCCCACATTTCCTTCAGCGACTTCTTTGCTGGTATGAGGGTCTCACTGGGCGTGGCCATCAGGTCGTGGTGTTGAAACGCCCTCTCAGGTGCCAGGTGCTCGCCAATGGTCAGGAACAGCCTCTTGTCAGACATCACATCATAAAATAGCGATGGGTACACACGAAGGACATTGAGCAGCGACTCCTTGAAGATTTCTGCCTGGGCAGCCTCAGTGGTGACTCCACTCATCAGAAACTCGACAAGTACGCGGGCTGCCTCTGGTGATCTTCGCTGCAAGGCAAGCTGGAGGGCGTTTGGGGCCCTCTTGGAATTGGCATCGCTGCCCCTCATATCTGTCCGCATGGATATTTTCATCTTGTTCTTGTCCACCCAGGCCAGCAGCCGCCTAATGAGGTCAATGTCGTTGTTTTGGGTTGCCTGGAACAGAATGTTCATTCCGCTTTCGTCTGGGTAGTTTAAGAGACTCACCTGCAAGCAGCGCAACAAAAGAAAGGTGATTTCTGGTTCTAAACAGGCTGATGCTGAAGTGCTTTGCCTTTCGTGACATCAACATGCTCTGTTATGGAATACAATGTTGGGATACTACAATCATTGCAGGGTCAGAGCTATAACAAAAGCGTAATCAACAAGTCAGCAGCCTCAAGCAGGGAAATTTGGGATTCCTTATGAGCATGCACAGATTCTGTCAGTAGCATCATAGCTGCACAAAATTTCTCCTGCCAAGCCTGAACGACACCTCCCCACTGCAAACGCACAAGCTCAATAAAGACTCGGTAAGGGTAAGGAAAACTTGCCAAAAACCATAGTCAAAAGCACTTCACCTGAGAACAGGAAGAAATTCCAGCACTTTATGTATTCTTCAAAGTTTGACAGCACACAAGGTGCAAACTCAGCAATCCTTACCCCATGTCTGGTCAGCAGCTCGTCAACGCCATCCCCAACTGTCCCAGCCCCCCACCTCCCAGCCTGCACCATGTTGTAGTCAGGGATGCAGCCACTGGTCGCATACGGCGTCCACACGATCAAGCGCTTGTGCTTTGTCAAGCAGGCCACCTTGTCGCCAAGCTGGGAGATGGCAATAAACATGGATGGGTCCAGGTCAGGGGCCGCTAATTTCTTTGGCTCCGATTTTCCACTGACATCTCTCACCCACAGGCCCCCCACTGACACTGTTTCCATTGGTTTCGGACCTTTGAGCATGCCGCTTGGTGAACCCCAGGATGGAGGCTGCCATGAGGCTGACAGGTCGTCTGTGAGTACCCAACGTCCACAGTCAGACACTGTGATGCGATTCGGCAGGGCCACCACGTTCCTACTCAAGTACTCTTCAGTGGTTTCTGGTGTCATTACTAACATCCCTGGACTGTCCCTCATTTGCCCAACCACAGCAGACTCACCATGAAGACCAACATTGAGGGGAAAGGGAAATTCTCCAGAAGGACCTAACCTGAGGTTGAAATGCACCGTCTTTGTGGCCTCCCGCCTCACCAGGTTCCAGACAACAACACTCTGGGGTGTCCGCATTTGTACACCACTCTCACCATCCTGGGAGAACTTGCAGTGAAAGTTGTAGCCTAGGATGGAGGACGTCCTGTCCAGTTCCACCTTTTCATCCACGAGGACCCAGACAAGCGTCCCATCGTCCTCGCATATCACCACGGTCTCTTTCCGATCTGGAGTCTGTGAGAAGCAGATGGCTCTCTTTGGGTAGAAGGCAGCCCTCAGGCTTGTCAGTTGTCCTTGCACAAAATAGTCACCTTGGTCACCGCCTGAGGGCTCGAAGACCCACAGCAGCACGCTGTTGTCAGACATGCAGGCTGCAATACGGTGGCCGTCTTTGGACATAGCGAAATCGCTGAATACCAGGGCATTTTTTTCCTTAGCCTTTGGTGCATTCTTGATGCTCAACGTGTACTTGACGCCGTCCTCCAGGTTCCAGACAAGCATGGAAGGCGTGTATGCATGTGCCAGGCCCAACATTCGGCCATCGCTTGAGAAGCTGCAGCTAGTGGGATGGCGCCTGCTGTCCAGAGTGTGTGCTGATCGGTCCAAGGTCTCCAAATCGAGTAGCTGCACGCTCGCCAAAGATTGGGGCCCAAAATTTCTGGGCAACCACAAGAGCATCCTGCTCAATCCACCCCCAAACATCACAAACTTGCCGTCCTTGCTGAAAAGCAGGTGCACATCTTTGCAGCCAGATGGGCAGCTGCCCTCTGGGAGCTCCAGAGACAGCACCTGCACCCCCACAGCGGTGTCCCACACCATCCCTTTGTTCATCCTTGCATTGAAAAAGCCCAGCCACCTGCTGTCTGGAGATGCAGCAATGCCCCTCATTATCTTTGGCAAGCTCAGGTTCATCATCCTTTCCACCACGTCGCCCGCTGCATCGTCCTTGGCAGGCAGGCCAACCGGGAGCCCGCTCTCAAGGACCCTTGTCGGAGATCGCTTTTTCACGTCCCAGATTATGACCATCATGTCCTTGCATAACAAAGACTGCGCCACACACCAGTCACCCTCCAAGCACAGGAACTCACACCACACCACCTGATGTTCACTCTGGTGTTGCAGGAGTATTGGTTCTGAGGCTACAAATTTGGGATGGCCAGCACGCGCAAGGCGGTACGGAGCAGAAGACCCATGAAATTTTGTCAAATCCCAGACGTAACAAGCACCCCCTGGTGGGGGATCTTCAGAATGCTCCAGCCCACTGTCTGTGTCCACCTGCAAGCCCCAAGTGACCACCATGCGCGCATCCCTTCGCCAAGCTCCCATGTTGGAGTTGCCAGCTTCCAACCTATAGCTCAACTCCTCATTGTCCAAAAAGTTAGGCCACAGTACCAAAAAACTGCGGTTGAGGTCGCTGAAGCCAGCCAACAGGCCCCTCCCATCTTGCGACAGTTTGAAAAATGGCGCCAATGAGCCGCTGTTTGTAGATTCATCCAGCAACGGCACAACCAGCTCCTTTGCTGGCTTGGATCGAGAGTGCGTTGCACAAGCAAACAGTACGAAGGCCTGCACAATATCTGTTGCTTTGCCACCATCAGTCACATGTGCCGCACCTAAACTTTCTTGAGCAATCAGCTCATCCCCATTGTGCCCAGTACTTCCAACATCGTGCTGTGCAAATGACTTCATCCTCAGCACACTCCTGGATAGCTCCGACTCATTCCGGAAACTCTCTTCTGCCAGTGTGGTCTTTATGGGGAACAGCACGATGTTGCCCGAGGATGAGAACTGAGGCGCAAACGGCTGTGACCCAAGATGAAAGTTGCTCCAGCGAAATCCGCAGTCAGCTGTGTCCGTCCGGTCAGTTCCAAAGTCCCATGTCACCAATGAGCCACTCCAATCGCATGACAACACGCAATCTGCCCGACCAGGAGAAAAACACACATCGGAGACTTGGCCCTGGTGTTTGTTTGCCAAACAATCCAACAAGTGACCATGCTCTGCATCCCACACCCTAACCGCCCCATCACTGTGTCCAGAAACAAGCAATGAGGAATCGTCAGAAAATGCCACACAAGTCACTGTCTCTGTGGTCAGAAAGCAACCCTCTTCTGTGGTTCCATGTTTCGATGCCTCCTCATGAGCGCAGGGTTCCCAGCTGTTGATGGGAGGTTCACGCCTTGGTGTCAGTTCAAACACAGGAACTCCACAAACGATCTTGAACTCATCGAAGAAAGACAATTTGCTTGAGTGCAGGCTCAGCATTGGCCGTTCACTGGGATCCGAGGATTCTGCACATAAAAAAACAGGCTTTAAGACCAAATCTTGAAAACCATCAGCCACAGCACATTATCCAGATTCAGCATTAACAAACCAGTCCCCCCAGAAATCCTGTGCTATTGGCTGGCCACCCTCCAAGACACTGTGAGTTGGTGGTGCAGCAACAGCACAGTCTGTACATTCCATACCCTCACCTCCATCGCTGGACCTCACCCCGTGGTGTGAGGAATAGCCGCCCATGCTTTCAGTGGGCGCAAACTTCTGCAGAGTTCGATACTTGTACCCATTTGCAGCAAAACGTGCTCTGCTGTGAGCATATCCGACTGCTTTTCTGAACACCCCTCGGACACTCTCAATGCTGTGGTCGATAGAGTCCATGAGGTTCCCAACGTCCAACATATTTGGGAGTTTTCTCCTCTGAGGAGCAAGCTCTTGCTCCTTGCTATTCTTTCTCATGTTGCCAGTGTGCCCTGCTCTGCACAAATGTCAGTCAGCTTACCAAGTGACCACCCGTGCAGTACGCATCAGTCAAAATCACAAGGTCATAGAAGCTGTTCCAGGCAAGCCTGGGCATGCAACGGACAGCAATACACGCTCTCGGCGTTTTCCTGCTGGAGGTGGAAACAACACACAAGCACCGCTTTACCTCCAGAGGGCCAGCTGGTCGACCACAGAGCAAAGATGATCAGTGTGCGCATGTTGATGACGCAGTTTGCAGCAGTGAGGTGTGTGCACATGACGAGGTCTGTCTTACGATGGGACAATGCTGTCCAGACAACAATCGTACTTCAGCTACATAGAGGTACAAGCCTGGCATGGTACCTGTGCATGATAAGTGGGGCAGAAGCAACGACAATACCATGCCATAGGAGGGACCCAGCGCCCCAGCCAAATCAAAGATATGCAAAGGAGCCCAATAGTGCCAAGCCCCTTCTCCTTTACCTGTAAATTAATCCTTGTTCACAGCTGAGTGCTCATGGCCAGATCATGAACTGGAGAACACGAGGTCTGGGTGACTAACTGGATCTGTTCAATCGAAACAAAGGCAACCATTCCTGTCAGTTCCAAAAATACATTGACACCTTTTTGTTTGCTCTTTGCTTGAATACCACAAATATTATGCTGAAAATGTCCATCCACCAATTTCGAAGGAGAAGGCGAATACCTATGATTTTAGGCTTATCTTTGCTACCAATTTCGGTCAATCTGCACCTGTGCAGTCCTTGTAGTTAATCTGCGAAATTTAATGCAGGTGTTGGACAAGCACACTGCATTGTTATTGAAAGCGCTTTTGCTTCTCCAATTTGCAAAATTGTTGTGTCAAAAAGGCCACAAGAGGCATCAAATCGGCGACCATGTCAAGGGTCCAGCTTTGTGCCACAAATCGTGCTACTTGGGCTCCATTGGATTTTGCATGGAGTTTCGACCCAATATAGCTAGCATCAACCAATTCACCAAGCTCGGGACATCAATCATGCAGCAGTGTCTGAGAACACAGGTGGCGAGCAGACAAAAGAACATATGACGGACACAAAAACGTTCTTGGATGTGTGCATGCCAGTCACCGCCTACAAGGTGCAAGGGCACTGCTTCATCTTGTCGAAATCTTTTTAAAGGACTATAGCACTCTGTGGCCGGGCCACAAACCACCACCTGAAGACTCTCATTTTGGATCCAGTCACGAGTCTCAAATGCCAATTGAATTCTCTAATCATTTTAGACCTTCAGCCGAATTTTGCCTCGCGCGACAGCCCATCCAGCACTCACAACACAATACGGCACATTCAAGTACACAGAATTCCACGCTCAACATTGTCCACATTTCCCCCGCGTTTCCCAACATCGCGCCCATCCCTCGCATGACGGGGCAATGCCGCATACCGCGTCGACCCGCGCCGCCAGCCAAGCTCACCGCCGGGTAGTACACGGTCAACTCCGGGCACCCAGCGCCGGACTGCAGCCACCCCAGGACGGACCTAGAAGCTGCCGGCACCCAGCGTAACGAGCCCACACTCTCGCTCAACTCGTGGCCGAGGGCTCACCCCGCCCTCCCCTCCCCTGCGTCCTCCCTGCCGCCTTCGGAATTCCCCCTCCCTGCCGCCTCCGGATTCCCCCCGCGCTCCGCCTCGCTCCACGACGGCGATCCCTCCCCTTCCCCACGGATGCCTCGTATGCGATGATTCCACTACCTCCCCTCCCCGGGCGGCCCCACGATGAGTGGCCGGGCAAGGGCGATCACCGCGGCCACCTGGGCGCGAGCTGCCGCGCCCCGTGTGGACGAGCTGTCCACGGGGCCCGGAATGGACGAGCGCGGCTGACCCTGGGATGTGGGCCTTTGCACTGCGGTTGGGCGCCGACCCAGCGCCCTGCGCGCCGGCCCGCGGTGTGGTCGAGCGGCCGGGAAGCCCCACGAGGGGCCGAGGGATCGTGAGCGGGACCCCGGTCACCGGCGCTTGGAGGCTTGGAGGCTTGGAGGCTTTGGCTGCCCGCCGTGGGCGCGAGGAGGCCGCGCCCTGGGGATTAGTGTGAGTGAGCACGGTGAGGGTCGTGGATTGGTGTGGTGTGGCCTGGGGCTTTGTTCAGCGGGGGGTGTCCGGTGTTTTTTATGTCCAGCAGGGTGGCAGAAGATCCAGAGCTCACTCAACGCTGAAGCTTGTTCGCAGCGAACATCCATCCGCGACGAGCATTGATCTCTTCGCGGATGACCGATGGACGTGGAATGGAAGGTTGAGCTTCGTGTGTCGCCGCTTAAGTTACGGTCCAGGCCATTCACTGAACGCCCTTCGCTAGCCTTTTACACTCTTCCTCCCGTTAAGTATTGACCTTGGGTTACATATACGTCGCACCTTTGCTTTTTTTTTTCTTTTCACACAATCGCTTACAGCTGTCATAAAATCGGATGCATGCATTGGTTCTGCTCCCACACACGTTACCACTGTGGTGACGCTCACCCTTTTAGCATTACACCCACACTTAGAGCATTTTTATCGGTCGGCGCTATTGCACCAGCGGAGCTATACAGGAACGATTCTCATTGGCTGCCATGCCACCTTACTAAGGCGTCATTTGCCGAATAGCGCCGGTGCTATTGGGGAGCAACAGCACCGGGCGTGCATCCGTAACAGTGGATGCCTTGGGGAGCAATAGCACCTCGTGTACATCCGAAACGGGGGATGCTTTTTGCAAGGAAACTCCCACACGCCCTCATCCACACACACCCACACAGCCTTGCCGTCTGCGCAAATACAGCCACCCTTGCTGCTCGCCGACCCACGACTGTCGCCAAGCGTTGACCAAGTGTTGACCTGAGCCGTGAGCCACCCACACTCAGTGAACAAAGACAATGAGGCGTGGCAACAAGTGGTTCCCGGCCGACGATCAGAGCCTGGCGAAGGCCTGGTTGTTCGCATGTGTGGATGCAGTGTAGGGAACGGATCAAACCAACGACGCATTTTGGTCCCGAGTGACGACAGAATACAGGAGGATTGGAGGCATCCGCACAGCAGGATGGAGTGTTGTGAGTGTCAAGAGCCGGTGGAATGGAACTTTGAGGAAAGAGGTGATGAAGTTTGTTGGCATTCTGAACGATATCCATGCGTTGAACCCCACTGGTACCATAGACCAGGATCAATTGGCTATGGCCATATGACGTTATAGTGGGTTAGATCCAATAGACATGAATGTGATTGGGAACTATCCGTATCTCCTGGCATGGCAAGTTTTGAAGGATAGCCCCAAGTTTGCTGCACTAGGGCAACAATTGGATCAAGACGTGGGGTAGGGGATGGCTAGCAGGGCAGGTGGTCAAGTAGGGGAGGATCGCAATATGATTGCTTCAGTTGGGGATCAAGTTGGTGATCCATCAGGGGGAAATCTTGGCACACCGGTTGCTGAGCAACCCCAACCATTTGGGCACAAGGCTGCAAAGAGGCAAAAAGCTGCAAAGGATAGGCTCCGTCGTTTTGAGGCCATAGCAGCTTGTGACAAAAGCCACAGGCAAGTGCTGAATCGTATAGCAACGCAGCTTGAGGAATCTGCAAAACATGCACAAGCAGTTGAGTTGTTTCAAATAGACGTTCGAAGCTTGGATCCGGAGGATGCCGGAGATTGACAGCAGTGCACCACAAGCATTTTGTGCAATTGCTATAGAAAGTGGGGGAAGATCAACAAAACCCCACCACACAGCCCAATGAGCTCGCTATTGCTCCAATTGGTGCAGCTGACCTTGTCACCTTACCACCCATTAATGGCGCTACCAGATTAGTGGGTGCTGGGGTTGAGGTGGATTTGGCAATGTTGGCACCAATTGTTGTGGCCCCATCAGCAGCCGCTGGTTTCCGGAGGCTCTGGGGTTGCCTTGCCCTGCAGCTCAGCTATTGGAGGTCAGCTGGCCCTCTCCACCTTGGACGGTGGGCGCTTCCAGGGCAGTCGATTCGGCGGTCGCATGGTGGGCCCAATGCTCAACGGGGATCGATCCCTAGGGCCTGCTATCGGTGAGAGGTGGCAGGGGAGCGAGGTAGTGGTTCACTAGCTCGTGGGAGGCCAGAGAGTGGGCCAAAATGGTTACACAGATTCACAGCATGCGCGCGTACATATCGCATGCGTGATGCCCAATTGCGGGTCTATTGCCATCATATCAAGACACGACAACACGAGTGCGCGTCCAAGCATATTGTCACCGTCCGCCATTCATCTACGATCGACCCATTGTCCTATAATTTCAAGCATCTAACACCCAACGCCCTGGCCCTAAGTACTGTAACTTCAAAAGGCTATATCTTCACCGTTTCTTAACAAAATTGGGTATTTAAATGCGCGTTGGAACCAAGAAGCTCTAAATAACACGCCCAAAAGGTCGATTTCTCCAATTACATAGTCACCAATTCAGAAAATGTCAATAACTGCCTAACCCCAAGTAACCATGTCACACCAACTGGTCCTCGTGCCTGCCACTTCATCGCAGCTCCTCAACAATAGATGGTTTCTTAGTTTTCATGGTTATTTTAGGTACGGGAAGATGCAATTCTTCATTTTCTTTTCTTACAATCATCAAGTTGTCAGAGTCGTTAGGGTCTTGCTCCGTCTCTTTAATTCTTCTTGCTTCACTTCCGTGGTCAGTATAGTGGGTGGTCACGTTGTCAGAGTCATCAATGGTATTTTGACAAGGAACGTGGTCTTTCAGCCCCTCAATATTGTTTATTTGAAGCAATTGGCGGCTATCGTTATTGTCTTCCTCCATAGCTCCCCCCCCAACTGCCTTGGAGTAAAACTCCTCGTTTTCCGAGTCATAAGGTTGGAGTGGGTTGATATCCCAGTCATCATGTGATAGCTCCAGGAGTCCCTCCGTCACTGTAGGCTAATACAATTCATTACAATCCTCTTCCTCTCCACAGCTTGAGTACTCCATACTCATAGTTGGCTCACAATTAGCACAAGGGCCTGGTCCCTTGTGGTTT